AAGGTGGCGGTAATGCACCTATAAGTTGTTTGCCAACCGCCATTAAAAAAAAGAAGAAGAAGAAGGCTCCAGAGTGTTGACGTCACCGACCCCTTGAGAGACGCTCTGCTGCTCCTCTCCCAGATTGTAGCTGACCGCAAACAGTGCACCAGACAGGAGGGCGGCTTGTTTTGTTTTTATGACCGAAATTGCGGAAAACAACTCGTGAAGTTTGACCCGCTAGAAGAGCGAGGTGCGCGAGAACGCTGGGAGCCTTTTTCCAGCTGAATCTCCGCTCTTTTTGCCCCATTGTCCCTCCGTCGTCGGACTAAACTCGCCCCCACTTCCTCGCCGCCTCGGCCGTATCTAGACCCACAGCGTGTAGCTCAGACCACGCTGCAATATTGAGCATAATTTAAAAATGTCTGTGTGAAGCTTGCTGCAACAAACTGCTGTAAGAGTATAACCAGGAAGCGCGGTAGGAGGGCAAAATAAGTTTAGCGGCACCGCAGGGAGGGAGGAGAGTTACGCCCAGGAGAAAATGGATAAAAATAGACCGGAGGAAAAAAAAAAAAACATTAATCGATTATCTTGCGGACGTGTCGATGCATCGGATCGTCGGCTTTTGGATCGATGCATCGATACAAAACGATTATTATTTACACCCCTAGTCCAGTCCTGTTTCTCTTTAGCCCAGGCAAGACGCTTCTGACGCTGTCTGTGGTTCAAGAGTGGCTTGAAACAAGGAATGCGACAGCAGAAACCCATGTCTTTCATACGTCTGTGTGTGGTGGTTCTTGAAGCACTCACTCCAGCTGCAGTCCACTCTTTGTGAATCTCCCCCACATTTTTGAATGGGTTTTGTTTCACAATCCTCTCCAGGGTGCGGTTATCTCTCTTGCTTGTACACTTTTTTCGACCACATCTTTTCCTTCCCTTCGCCTCTCTATTAATGTGCTTGGACACTGAGCTCTGTGAACAGCCAGCCTCTTTAGCGATGACCTTTTGTGTCTTGCCCTCCTTGTGCAAGGTGTCGATGGTCGTCTTTTGGACAACTGTCAAGTCAGCAGTCTTCCCCATGATTGTGTAGCCTATAGAACTAGACTGAAAGACCATTTAAAGGCTTTTGCAGGTGGTTTGAGTTAATTAGCTGATTAGAGTGTGGCACCAGGGGCCATCAATTTTGAACCTTTTCACAATATTCTAATTTTCTGATATGATGAATTTGAGATTTTCATTTGTTGTCATTTGTAATCATCAAAATTAAACAAAATAAACATCTGAAATATATGAGTTTGTATGTAATGTATGAATATAATATACAAGTTTCACTTTTTAAATGGAATTACTGAAATCAATCTACTTTTTCATGATATTCTAATTTTATGACCAGCACCTGTATATGTATGCAGCATGTGAACGAGGGAAAGCATGGCGTTATTTCCCTGCTCTACAACAATCATACAATTATTAGCATTTGGTAATCAAGTTAGTTTTTAAATGACAGCTTGTTATTGGCAATTACTTACATTTTAATTTATAAGTTGATTCAATTTGTCAGGGGTGTTTTTGCATTATTGTATAATGTAATGTCACTTTTTTTTATGTATTTTATGTTTCTATTTAAATAAAAGTGTATTGAAGATTACAAAAGAAATTGTAAGTGTGTCATACCTTTTTGTTTGTGGGACTTTTCTACTTAAAAATTTTAACAATTTACCATCAGTGTGAGAAAGTTTAGTGCTGAATTTATTTGGATTAGCCATATTCTTCCTTTTGTAATATAATAATTCGAGTAAAAGGTATATTCTAAAAAAAAATAATTCTTAAAAGGAACTTTCTACAAGTTACTGTATTGTGTGTAGTTTTGTTTTGTTTTCTTGATCCTGTATTTTTAAAATAATAGCTAAATGTTTGCCAATAACAAAACAGAGCTGAATTAAAAGCAATATCTCCACTTACTCTGTCTTTTTGCGGGACTTATTGTCGTGCAGTTCCAGCAGGTTTATCACAGCCTGGCCCAGGAACTTGTCCAGTCCCACCTGGGCCCGGTGCATGACGATGATGTACAGGGTGCAGCGCTCGGCGTTTCCCGGGTGGAAGAGCGGCAGGTCAAACGAAGCCTCCTCCTTCCACACCGGAGCGACACACTTCTCCGCCACCGAGGTGGAGAACTTGTCTTTGGCCACCTGGATGATGGCGTACGAGTCATTGGTGCCATTTTTCCCCTTGATACGCAGGTTCCGAGCCTGATGAACCGTTACCACGACACTCGTTGGAAACCACTGCTGGCTCTGGTCGAGCAGAGACATCTTTAAAAGTCCGCAAAGTCTCACTTAAAGTTGACCTTAACTGTGTTCCTATCAAATAGTCCTTATTGTGAACTTTAAATTTTCACCTTCGGCGTCCTCTGCTGCTGTAAGTTACCTCAGCGGTTGGTTCTGTTCAGGAAGCTCGGTCTCGCAATGGTCCACCTAACATCAAACTAATCAAACTAACAGACTTTTTGTGAACCTCTGAAAATATACTGTTGACTTGACAACGTCTGCGCGGAACTAACGAGCGTAACTCGAACGGGACATCTTTCTGAATCAGTTTCTGTGAAGCGACATGTCAACACAACTCCCTTCACACTGCTCCGCCAAGTTTCACAGTTCACTTCCCTTATGTCACCAGACCCCGCCCCCGCTCTGCATAAGAGCCTTTGATTGGGTGAAATAAATGTCAAATACTCAATGCCTGAATATGATTAGACAGAGGAAAACTGCATCTGTACCGTTAATTTGTCAGATCTGTCATTATCATGACTGAACACATTTGAGTGATATTTTTCCCTTTATAAACAAAAATCAGGCTATTTAACATTTTAATTAAATAACATGAATTCTCTTTTGAAATGTAATGTATATATATATATATATATATATATATATATATATATATATATATACAGTGTATATATATATATATATATATATATATATATATATATATATATATATATATATATATATATATATATATATATATATACAGTATATATATATATATATATATATATATATATATACAGTATATATATATATATATATATATATATATATATATATACAGTGTATATATATATATATATATATATATATATATATATATATATATATATATATATATATATATATATATATATATATATATATATATATACAGTATATATATATGTCCTCTTTTCAAGGGGAATATCTATCAGTTTGACTACATTTTAATACACATTTCTACTAAATTAATTAAACAGTTTATCCCACATGGGGTTGTCAAAAACAAGTTTATAGACTTTAAGGCAAAGTTAATAAATTGTCAATAGATTAAATGGCAACCATTGCCAAGAGTTAAAACTTAACTTACTTTTAGATTTCCCATAAAAATGTACTTTGTTTTAGGAGTTGGATGTGTCAAAAGTAATTAGGATCCACAGGCACAGGGTGAATATGCAAAGTGTATTTGTGCAGAGGGAGAACAGTTCAACATTATTATGGAGTTAGTAGATGCTGAACAAAAACGATGAGTTGGATCAGGGATGCACTCAAACCAAGTCCCCCCTCAAGGATTAGAAGTATGTGTTGCACTACCAAAAGAAGGGTTCAAATGTGTTAAAGTACAAACAAAACATAATATTTATGTCAATCAGTTCATGTAAAGTGTTGAAAATATTATTTGTATTATTTGTAAGACACCAAGCAATTTTTAACTAAATTATAATTAATTAAGGTGGCAAATAATAAATCTACAAAACAATATCCTTATTTTACATAGATATGTGAGCAGGCCTGGTTTGTTTTGTAGTTTAAAACATTTTGCCAGAGGTATGAGTCACAGTCACATCCTCTGGTTTATGCTGAGGTCATCCTACCCACAAGTTATTCATCACCATGAGCATATTGAAACACCCAGGATTAACAAACTTCGATGTGTAATCCAAAGAAGAATGGAAAACTTCACAGTTTGTTGTGGACATACTGGTTCCTGCTTAGTCCTAAACATACTAAAAAAAAACACACATATATATAAGTCACCAAAGAGTTCTTCAATAATTCTATAAAAAAAAAAAAACTATTTTTGATAAGTTTAATATTTTTGGAAAATGTTTACTTGTAGACGTTTTTAGTGCAGTATGAGCTGTCATTTCATCATTTTATTGCAAAAAAAATAGTGAGAAATAAGGAGCGTTGGTAAATTTAAAACCAAAAACATTTCTCTATAACCTATAACGTGACAGTGGATTGCATATTGATAAGCATTAAATCCTTTCCTCATAAAAAATGTTCTAGGCTATCTTCTTGCAGTTCTTCAACATTGCTTGTGTAAACCCTAAACAAGACTTTGTATGGATTTCTTTGAAAATAGACTCTCTTTGCACCACTGTTCCATAAATAACACATTTGTTGTGTACCCAAATATTAGAAATCTTTTCATGAGATGGGACACTCATGTTGGAGCTGATAAACTTTTCAGCTCCGTAAAATAGAATAGCCATGGATTGGTAGGTTTCCAGGAGAGCCAAAACTTTTGCATCTATAAATGATGAACAAAAAAAGTAGTTATGTGTGTTATGTTAGAAAGCTCAGGATATTGTTAAAAACATAACTCTGCTTAAGGCTTCTCTGAAAGGTCAATCTTTACAATTCCCATTCATCAATGATAATCGCTAATAAACCTTTGAAACATTTACAGAGCAGCTGGATCAGTTCTGCAAATCAATTCAACATAGTACACCTCAGTTTAATAATTAAGTGGCTCCTTAAAGCAGTTTATTATTATGCAATAAAAGGGGTTGCATGAATATAAACTTTTCAGATCTCTATTTGTACACAATGTCAAAATCCACCTATCTTCCATTCCATTTATAATTATGCTAGACCCTGTTGTTTGTCTTTCACATGAAAATCTGAATAATAAACACAGAGGCTTGTGGTTGCTAGGTGACTAAATCTGAACTAGATGAAATCAAGTCATAAGAAAGCAGATTAAATCTGTTATTGTCAATTGTCCCACAATTTTAATTCACTCTGAGATTGTACAGCGACCCTCCAACACAGCTCTTTTGATGTGTGTGCGCACACACACACACACACACCACACCACACACACAAAAACTGCAAACGTACAAGTGCATACATGAGTACAAACAATAACATAAGTGTCAGAGGTTGTTGCCTTCAGATTAAATGCATATAGAATTGCTTTGGACGGAGAAGGCTTGCACTCCATTTTATGCTATAGTTCATTTGCATAGGAAATTTACAACTAAAACATTAAAGCTTTCTTTAGACATCCAAGTACAACATTGTATGCCTAGATGAAACATTTCTTGTACACATTCTTTTGTAAAGTGATTAAAATAAATGTGTATGCTTGAACATGGCAATAGCAGTGACTGCATTAATACACATCAAACTTAGAATGCAACAGAGGCAGAAGTACCAGTTCAGGGTCCTGGAATTCTTCATGATATTATATCTTAAATTATATAATTGTTTAGAGAAAATGAACACACAACCCAGTCATTTCTTTAAAGATAAGCAGAGAAATCTGCCAAAATTTATACTGTGGTTTCACTTTTCCACAAACCAGTCTTCATTCCAACAGAACTCTGGGATTGGTCTGTGCCGCTCATGTCCTGCTCTAGCTCGAGCACAGAGTTTCTTAGGGTCCCATTTGGGGAAACAGCCTCTGGCATGGTGGTGGCGACACAATTCAAAGGATAGGAGCAGCGCTTTGTTTCTTGCTCTGCAGAAGTGGCCACTTTTAAATTGTCTCTGCTGGAGCATCGTCTCTGAGTGCTGTGCATGGTCACTCTGCTTGCAGCAGAGGGAGGTAGAGGGAAGGGTTTGCGGCTCCCGCTGCTGCCCCCGTCACTCCCCTCTGAGGGGCTGGTGGCTGCCGACTCTCCCACCCGCTTTCCATTCGTCAGCATGCGGGCTTGGTTCTCTGAGAGACTGTGATGGATGCTGCCATTCTCACTTGTGGCCTGCTTGTAAACAGAATGCGATGAATTGAGGTGCTCCGAACCTATCGGCCCTAAAGCTCCAAGACTGCCGCCCCCTCCAGCAGACCTCAAAGCTTTGAGGCGGTAGTGGCCTCTGCCCTCACCTCGATGATAATGCTGATAACTCCCTTGTTTAGTTCTGCTACTGACTTTTCTCCTCTGGGGATGTACCGGTGCTGATGAGTTTATGGAGGGCAGAATATTGTTTGTAGGCTTTGTGATATTGTCTGTACTTGTGCTTGTGTTGTTGCCTGTAGGGACACGTGAGGAGTTGCCTTGATTCTCCTGCGCCACCTGCAACAAGTTTGTGAGCTTGCACGGCCCAGGTCCCATGCTGCTGATCCCACTTGGCGTAGAAGATGACCTGGCTGAGGATGAGTTATGAGAGTTATGAGATTCAGCAGGTGGATGGCAGTTGACAAAGAGCTGGGATCCTTGTTCAGATGTTTGCACTCCGTTTCCAGTGGTGCAAGTGTTTGTAAAAGTAGACATGGGATGGGAACGACGATAGCCCGGGCAGCAACCCAGCCATGACGCCTGCACATCACGACGTCGGAAGCAGTAGTGCACCACCAGAAACACCCCTAAAACCGTGGCGACAATCCCATAGAGACAGCTGAACAGCAAGCTTGTGCGTCCTGTTAGCCACACTGCCATGGCTCCACAACACCAAAGAGCCGCAAACAGAGAATGGGTGGCTACCAACACGGAGAACTGTGTCTTCAGTGAGTACTGATCCTCTGGAGGCACAGCTGGGGTTATAGGCCTCCCCCCGGAGTCTGTGGAGAGAAGGCTGGTGCTCCCTGCCAGTGCAGGAAGACCCTCTGTCCCAGGAGAGGACAGGGTGGTTCCTGTGCATTCTTTGGACACACGGTGCCTGAGGCGAATCACAGTGCACAGGAAATAAATCCAGGTCACCAAGACCACTAAACCAGCAGGGACAAAGAAAGACCCTAGACTTGAGCGCCAGATCAGCCAGCAGCTGCAGAAAAAAAAAAAACAATAGTCAACACAAAACATTTACTTCTTTGTGTATTTAACACTGGAAAAATTCACTGCCCACTACCAAGTAAAACAAACAAAGTCAAAAGCCAAATATTTTAGTGAATAAAATAGCTATTCACTTACTAGGGGCTATTGTCTCCATAGTTGTTGACATTGACAGCTGCAGTGATTCCACAAATGATGAGAGGAACCCCATCCGCTATTAAATAGAACCTGGAATAAAAAATCAAAAACGTTAAAAATGCCATGTGCACAGTTCTCAAACTTTTTTTCCCCAGATAATTGGTTGCAAGTTAGTATCTCATAAAATATATATGAATATATACCTAAAACAATATTATGAATCTCAACTTCTGCTTTAATTCATCGCCGCTCAGAAAATAATAAAATCATATACTCAGGTTTATTCAAAGTAACATTTAAACTTGGATGACTGTATGCAGTCCAAAGACCTTTAAAGCACTAAAATGGCGTTAAACAAACTCTAAACAAACGCATTTGTTTAGAGTGGCATTTGACTGTGCTATCTAAACATTATTAGTCAGGTTTCCAGTCAAACTTTCACTCCATTTTCTTCATGATTTTATGTTTTAAAAAAATCTTTTGTCAATCCTTATATGCTTTTTAGCCTAATCTCATTCTTTTAATGTGTAGCTTTTATTCTCTTTAGCTATTTGAATTGCTTCTATGCCACTGCAATATACTTTTGGCTTTTTTTGTTGAGAAATTTGAATAGCCTTGCCACTGAAATGTGCTGTAGAAATAAACTTGCCTTGCCATGACTTTTTTGTTTAGAAAGTCAGATATTTGGAAAGAAAAAACTTCTTCAGCACCATTATTGACTAATTATGTTTATTTGATTGCTGGCACTGTACAGAACACAGTGCAGGGAATGGTAACTCCTCACCGACAAGGCATGCAAAACAGAAATGGAAATTTTATATTTAGGCAAAACTGCTTTTTCCCTTAAAAATGGCTCCCAGGGAGGGGAGCATTTCCAACTATATAAAAAGCTACCACTGCACATGATGCTGTTGAAAATGTGACGACTAAATGCTCTATTGTGACCCCAAAATAACGATAATGTTCATTTTTGAGGTTTTTGAGCTTTGCGGTTGGTAACAATCTGAGCAAAGTAATCCACCACAGTCACTGAACAGATTGTCAAAGCACATGTCAAAGGTCAGTGATTTATCACCTCCTGACCCCTCTTGGGTCTTCGTATAGCAAAGGGGCTGACTGGGTACCCAATGAGGTCAGGGGCACAGTGTATAATTGCGGCTTTAAGATCACAGGCAGAGTAAAAGAGGGTTGGGGAACAGAAGGAAATTGTAATGAATACACTGCAGTCCTTGAGTCACCAGCTTAGATTTATGACAACTCCCACACTTTCTCTTCTATTGGTGTCACAAATTCTTCCTCTCAAACATCCCTAAAATTATCCAGTCAATGTCTGTTTCTTGCTTCACAGCTGTACTTGGTCACTTCCCACTTTTTTTTTTTGAATCAGTAGGACTATGGTTAGAGGGCACAATGGCTGCCTTTATTGAAGCACAGTTTGGGTGGCCTAGCATGGCAACTTTTTGCAACTGTCTAAAACTTAAACCATATTGACAGCAGACAATACTCTCATGGTACAGGAAGCGGTTGAAAGATCATGGTGGCTTTCTCACTGACCTGAGCATAGGTCGCTGAGTGGGTGGAGGGGAAGACTCTCCTTCTGTCTGACGGGGCGTTCTCCACACAGCTTCTTTGTAGATTACCCTGGCGCTAACCCCGATCCACAGCAGTGTCGATAGTGAGGAGTAGTGAAGAGCAATGCCCACCTGTCATGTACAGGGATCAGAAATGACGCATAACATACAAAAAGTTACAAACTGTATCCTAAAGTTAACAATAAAAACTCACGGCCTGGCAGACTAGAGGATAGCTGGTAAGGCTAATGCCTCCTGCATAGACAGCTGATGTCATGGCGATGTGGAAACAAGTATTCAGCAGGGTGTGCCAACTTTTTCTTGATATCTGTATCGAACTGCAGAAAATATAAAGACCAGATAATTAAAAAGAAAATAAAGAGGAAACAAAGGATCTCTGTTTGACAAACACATTAAAGCACCTGTAGTGTATTATGTGTGTGATGATGATGGTGAAGAGGCAGAGAAGCAGCACTGCAGTGCACGTGTAGACCACAGGGTGGAGCACACTCACAGAGGCTGAGCTGGAGTTAGGGAAGATGGGTACTTCCTACAGAGAAATCAAAAGCAAGATAGGTGAAGCTTTCATCAACACTCTAATCTAAATGAACCAGCTGAAAAAGCCAATATCTACCTGCAGCACCGCATAGTTGCCGAGCACAGAGCAGCGTATCATGGATGTGCTGCCGTCACTGTGGATGAGCTGGCAGCCTTGCTGACTCCAGCCTCCCAGCTTCCCTGGTGCTGTGTGGCTCCACTGGGCTGCCACTGCATCAGTGCCTGGGTTCAAGTGGCGTAGGGACACCCAGATGGGATCAGAGTAGTTCCACATAGTGCAGCCGTCTGTCACAGAGTGAGAGACAATCGTCAACATAAAACAACACACATTTTTCCCTGTTTTTAGCACAACACAGAAATCCTGTTAGTAAAGACAGCAAATCTTGCAAGAAAAAGGCAAGGATCCAGACTGCAGAGCACAGTTTGCCTGCGATTAATTGGGCACAGGACTATGCAACTTAAAAAGGAAGTGCAACATTAAATTATTGGGTTAAAATGCAATTGAATCGTGTTTTTTACCGAGGCCTACAAAGATGACAGGAGTGTTGACACTTCTTCTGCGTGATTGTTCCAGATTATTACTGGAGTTTGGCAGCACAGGAAAAAAGCTTCCAGTTCGGAAAGCCACAAACTGCAGCTTACAGTCCGCAGTGGCATCCGGGGGAAACAAAGTGGCTGGAAGAGTCACAGAAGCCAGTGCTACAGAGTTCTAAACAAAAAAATAAGATGTAGATTATACTTAATGAAGAGATATATATTTAGTTGCACCAAAATTAAAAGGGGCCTACGGGTAAAGCCTCACTTTTAGGGGGAAGTTGTTAAGGGAGGTGTTATGGGAGCCAGTGCTGCAGCGGAAATGAAGACGTTGACCAGGTCCAGACTCTGACATCTCCACTCCTAGGCGTCCTGTTGGCGCCTCACGGTGATAATATGCAGTGCAGGTTATACCAGTGAAGTGGGCTGGTCGGATCAGGTGGGCCACCATCACTATATTCTTAGACACCTGCATGATCAAATCAGATGTCATTAAAAAGACGGTTTACTACCTTCCTATAGCTTTGTTTTATTGTACAGGCAAAACTCAGATCCACGGTCGTTCATACCATAGAGAAGTCTTGAGCTTCACCATGCAACTGAGGCCAGGCTAGAGTTTCCAGGGAGTGGACAATGGAGCTGCATACTTTTTTTTCTCTCTGAGCAAGAGCAAGTATCTGGTCATCCACCTGCATCAGGTTGCTGCCCATATCAACAATGACCTCTGACAACTGCAAAGGAACGAAATTATTAGAAAAACGCATAAAACAATTACACCAAAGTTTTTTCGTAAAACATTAGAATCTGCGCTTTAAAAATCACTTTTACCTCTCGCTGCTGTCTGACATATTCCATTAACTTCTCCATAATTTGGGCAATGTACAGCACGTCCACTGAGTCAGTGAAACCTGCCACCTCCAGCGTATATGTTCGCACTTGACGGGCCACAGTGACGGCATTGGATGCATTGATGGGTGTCTAAAAAGAAGAGTTGAAACAATTTCAGCTTCACTATCAGGTCATCAATCTGTACGGTGGCATAGAGAAAAGTACCAACCAAGATGAAGGTATGCAAGACACGTGTGATGCCATTAGTGTACTGGCAGTTGGAATAGTCTCCCTCGTGCCACTTTCCGGATCGGTCACAGTATCGAGAGGCTTTTTTCTGCTCCATCACCCCCTCCACAGACAAGGAGGGGTAACGAAGCTGCAGACAGTACTGATGGGAGGTAATGCCCGCCAAAGTTCTCGGCCACCTGTAAAATAATCATCATTTTAAAAGACAAATTTAGAGAGTATTTGAGACTTAATTTTACTTGAAGTGATGAGAAACCATTGCAACTAAGACTGACCTGAACTCCCCGCGGTTGTTAACAACTTTGTCTTCTGGGCAGAAGGAGGCGCTGTTCTCCAGCACTACGATTTCAACAGTGCGAGAGGTGTTGCCCCGTCCGGTAGTAACCACACATTCCCACTCTCCGCTTGCTTCCACGTGAACGTTGGATAGTATAAGCTCACTAAATGTAGAAAATTGTGTTGGATTTTGTTTCATCTTTACAACAATAGAGTGAGTTTCACAAAGAGTAGTATTTACTCTACCTGGTGATGAAGGTGCAGTCATGCACCACACTATCCTCCAGCTGGACTCCTCTCTCAGTGTCAGACGTTACCAGTTGGCCGTTGTGACGCCAGTGCAATCCAGTGGTCTTATCCACCAGGGCAGCAGTGCAGTGGAAGGGCAGCCGGTCGCCTCTGAAAACCACCTGACGCTGGGATGGCAGCAGCGACAGGGTGTGGAGCTCAAGTGGACCATCTGGTGTGAAAAGACATAAAAGGAGGCCGATGCAGGTCAGTTAAATGTTCCACAGGATCTTAACTGTGTTAGGAAAAAAAGCAAAACACTTTTTAGTTTTGGATTTATCCACCTTCTGTGAACAAAACAACCCAATATTTTATTTTATATGCTTGAACTTTTATGGCAACATACAAAGCAGGGCATAGTTCTGAGCTGAAAGTATGGTATAAACTTAATAGAAAAGCTTTTAGCAGCATTTCAGGCCTCCCATAATAAACCCTATAAAGTGAAACAGCATTTTTGTGTATTTACTATTCACTCACTTAAAAGAAAAAAAAAAACAACACAACTAAAGTCTGGTCAGGCTGCTGGAGAGCATTTCTCAATAGCAATGTACTACTTTCAGATGTGAGGTTTGACTGATATTTTGAAAACAAGACTATCCTTTGATCTAAACCCTGCCAAAACTTTTTTATGTAGCTCCACCTGCATGTTTTCTACAAAATTATATTGAATTCATATATTTTGTTAATCCCAAATGGAAATAGAATATAATAAAATGAAATTGCACTCTCCTATTGAAGAGAGCCCATATTCTCTGCTAAAGAATAGCATGCTCAAAGCACAATGCTGCTGCCCAGAGGCTCCATGGTTAATAATTTGTGAAAATATATAAATTCAATTCATTTCAGTTTATTTATATTGCGCCAATTCACAACACAAGTGATTTCAAGGCTCTTTACAGAGACAATTTACCAGATCCTACAGTCAAATTGGTTCAAAGTTTTCTATCTAAGGAAAATCAGTTGATTGCGTCGGCTCATTGACTCGAAGGCAATCCCTTACACTAAGCATGCTTGTAGAAACAGTGGAGAGGAAAACTCCCTTTTAACAGGAAGTAACCTCCAGCAGAACCAGGCTCAGTGTGAGCGGCCATCTGCCGAGTCCGACTGGGGTTCAAGGGGATAGATTATCCATGTTATATGTACCAGATTATTTAGAAAACAATGTTTAATTTCCTTTCATGTTTCAGTTAATCTTTACCTTGTGTTGCTCTATTATTTAAACCGCAAGACATTAAGCTGAGGTTTCTCAGTGTAACCTTACAAAAATGTGCAAAAACCCAAACAGTATGAATACTTTGGTAAGATATCGGGTTATAAATGTGTGGTTCAGCAGCCAACTGAATGCAGACAGTTGAGGTGTGTTATTGAGATATTTGCTAACATACATTGCTGATACTTTGAGATGACATATTAAGGTGGAATCTTTTTGCTACTTAGAATTATCACCTTCTAATTAGCAAAGATGGAAGAAATCAAATGACTTTGACATTGGAAGATTGTGAACTAGAGGTAACCCGCTTAATTCCTGTGCCTCACAGCAGCCAGGTCCTCACCACAGCTGAGCTGTATTTCTCTCAGTCCTCGCAAGGGTTTTCCTCTCAGTGTCCTGGGGTAGGCACACAAGGTTTCCTCTCCAACACGCACTGATTTGTTGCGAAAGAAACTCGGCATCCAACGCAGCCCGCAGTCACAGGACAAGTAGTCTGAGTTGAAGTTTCTGCAGAAAGAACTGCCATTCATTACCAAAAAAGTCCTGCTTATTCTACTTCTGGTTAGATTATTACAAACATATGAAAACTGTTTTAACAGACTCAGAATGGTACCTTTTAGCAGTGTTTATGAAAACATTTTTTTGTACTATTACCACCACAAGCTTCTGCATATTTTATCCAGATTTTATGTGCTAAACATTAGACCAAAATAAATAATGGAAGTGGAGGGGAAATAAAGCAGATGTCTTCCTTCTTTTTTTTTTTTTTTTTTGTATAAACTAAGTTTCTTTTAATCTGTTAATTAAAAGTCTGTGGAACTCATTTCCTACAAGAGTCAGTTGGTAAATAGAGTCCACCTGTGTATAATTTAACCTCACTTAATTTAAAGCTGAGAAACTCAGATGATTTTCAGAGACCGGTGGTGCACCAGCATCATAATGAACCAGGAACATAAAGTAAGTGCTGTGGAGAGGTTTACTTTTAGGTTATATAAACTTGCCCCAATCTTTCAACTCTACATATTCAGCCATGTATTCAAAGTCCAGACCAAACTAAAACTGAAAATCTGTTACAAGACTTGAAAGTTGCTCCTCATGGATGCTCTCCATTAAGTCATTATAAAGGTGTGTCCTGACCTGTACAAAAGGTCTTGACCAAAAGCAGAAGACTCTGATCAGATTAAGGTGAACTAAACTGGAAGGTGTCAAAACATTGCAAGTGTAAGCTATTTTGCATAAAAGAATCTGTCAAAATTTCTGTCTCTAATATAAGTAAATGGTAAAATCTTTTAAATGTCTTTCTCTTTCAGTTTAAAATTTACTACTTTTAGTGATCTTTCACATAAAATACAAGCAACAATATATAGAAGTTTGTGGCTGTAACATGAAAAATTAAAGGTTTTGGGGAATAAAATCCTTTTCTGAATTATTTTTGATTTTGTTTTGATTTGATATAATATGGGTAGATTTTATTGCTTACAGATTCTTGAGTGAAGGCAGCTCATCAAACACTCCTTTATCCAGGGTCGAGATAATATTGCCAGAAAGGTTTCTGCAGGAAATATATTATAGATGAACAAGTTCTCTAAATACTTGAGCGACAAGCCAGAGTTTGTCTTATTTTATGTAACAGGTGGGTTGGGGTCTTACAGTTTAGTGAGGTTGGTCAATCCCTGAAACATGTCTGCAGTCAGGCAGCCAATCCGGTTGTTGGACAGGTCTCTAAAAGTGTGAAATATAAAAGGACTGTGTTAGCTGTTATTGAATTAATATCTCCCTTGCAACAGATTGTTGTGTCTTGACTCATTCATTGCCCGAAGATACAATATTACATATCCATTTGACATACTGGGATGATAGCAGAATGCTAACTTAATCTCAGAATCATAGAGAGCTTGCATTAAAAAAAGTCTCACACACTTTCCCTTATCAGGACCCCAGCGAACCCATGGAAAGCTTTATCATCAGTAGGGTAGAGCAGGGCCCCTGTTCTACAGTCAATCCCTGAGTGTGATGTATAGCTGGAGCCAGAGAGGGATCTGCTCTGCTGCACCTCTGACACTACCCAGCAGAGAGCTGTCCAGAGCATGTGTTTATCTCCCCCTGTTTGTTTTGAGAAGCCCCAGACCTTGCAGGGAAAATACAAGAAGAAGGAGGAGGGACGAGGTCTCACGCAGCGCAGCACAGACAAACACGTTCGACCCACGCTACAACCAAGCATCGGGGTACTTGAATACAAAACAGGGCAGCAAGCGGCTACACAATGTGGATTGTCAAATTCAGTGCCTTTTAAGGACCATAAGCATAGCCCTGCTGTTTCTACTGAGGCTATGGGGATGATATCCCATAAAAAACTGAAATTTTAACCCAAATTTTGTAGCTGAAGAACATCTGGCATACGTATGTAATGGGCTCCCAAAACAGTGAATGTAAGAGTTTAATTCAGTTAAATCTGTATGAAAATACATACTTTTGCTAATTTACATTTAAACGCTAGATATTTAATTGGACTTTGAGGCATGTTAGTACATCTACTCACAGCTTGCGAAGCTCAGACAGGCCTTGGAAGGCTCCAGGCATGATGGTGCTGATGAGGTTGTGCTTTAGGTCCCTGGAAATATAAAAAGAGGTACTTCAGCATGTGTATGCAGTGTGCAAGATGTTCAGGTTTTTAATAAATGTCAAATTGATTGGTGTTAAAAAACTAGACTATGAAATATATATAATTATTTTCTAAACAACATTAAGAAAAGGGTGAGTATCAGTATGTTACAAACCTTTTTTTTTGGCATATACTGTAATACTGTTTCCTTTTCAGAAAACCACAAAAGTCCTAAAAGTACAAAACACCAAAAGCACAATATACCTTCCACTTGAACCAGATAAGTAACTTTGGAATATAATTTTTAATGTAAAAAACATCTTATTTTAAGTATGTAGGATTATCTAATGTACCTAAAATCAGCTGTGTACATTACCGGTTGGTATACATAGTTTAAATGTCTTAATTGAGTAAAGGACCTTTAACCCCTTAAGCCCCAGAGCCTCCTATCAAGGGGCCTCGAACTATTTCACAAGAACAATAAGCTTTTTGCTCACTAACTCTTAGACTAACACACACTTATCATATGTCCAGATCTTCAACTGAGACTCTTCTACAAGACTGACTACTTCATTCTAATACCCACCAACCACACTGTGCCAAAAAAGGTAGCCAAAATATAATTTATGACCAAGTTTGTGTTTCAGTGGGCTTCATTCTACCAAACAAAAGTACAGTAGCAACACCAAATGATGCATTTCTAATGTAAGCAAACAACACACTAAATCGGCTGGAGACAAACTCTTTAGTAAAACTTTGATCATTGGCAGCTGATCATCCTTCAAAAGACACCAGCAAAACCCAGCAAAGCAGATAAAATTTGTCCCACCTTTGCTGTTCTTCTTTTTCATCAAAATATATTTTTTTATCAAAAAGCAGTTTCTAGAATATATCCAAGCGATAGTTTATAATGTAGCTAAAGGCTACTTCTTCTACCTGTATTACGGTACTACAATATGCCTATATTTGAAATCTATTACCTGGAGTAAATCAAGAAGGCCTATGTTACTCTTGCTTGTGATTCACTGGAGCTACTGTCCATCTCAATTTGGTCCATATCATTGGGTTCTGTATAAAGCAAGCCTTTCTAATTGTTATAGTATGAAGCTCCCAGATTGGACAAACGGTTATTTAGATATGCCCGTGCGTCCTCATGCATTTTATTCAACTTAGCTTAGCAACTTAATATATATATATATATATATATATATATATATATATAGTGTAATTACAGTGTTTATATATTGTGTAATTACAGTGTGTAAATAAAGAGAGCTAATAAACTAATAAAACGTCCTCTCAGTGTGGAGAAAAAGTGGATTTTATAACCAAATATATAATAGCATTCCACATTTTAAATTTCAAGAATAAATTAAAAATTGTCTGAAACTGTCCCAAAATGGGCCCTGCGATAGACTGTCGGCCAGGGTTTACCCCGCATCTACCTCCATTGACAGCTGGATTTTTTGGATCTAAACATCTATAACTTCTCAGTTGCTTATTGAATGGACATGAAACTTGCTACATAAGAAACCAAGAAGTTGTAGTTACAGTTTATTGTAATGTTTATTTATTTTCTTACAGGAAAAGTGAGAAGTTTTGAATATAAACATCCGTTGTTGGGTTTTTTTTTAGCGAATCCTATTATTTGACCATATAAAACTAATGTACTCACGCCCAGAATAGTTTATTTTTAAATTTTCACATCCATAGTATCCTGCATGAACTTTATGTTGCTTATTAGCAGTTTAGGAAGTATGCAAGTTGATAAATGGCCACATGAAGTATGAGTATGCCTTTTTTGTAAACTAGCCCTGTGGGCTTAAGAGGTTAAACAGGTACATTATCTTTAACAACTTTTTAGCAACAAAGGGTACAGAGAGAGCATTTACATTTAACTCATTTTGTAGGAGAAGTTAGTTGGATTTTCATAAGTAAATATATGATAATCGATTTTTTGTTAGACAGCCATAAACAGTGTATCTGCCAACAAAACATGTTGCCCTTAGGTTATCAAACGTGTAATCTTGGTTGCAAGGGAAGGAGAAAGATAAAGTTGTGTTCAGGGACATGAACAAAGCAAAGTTCAAACAGCTGGAGTCTGAAGTGAGTCGATAAAGGCAACTGCAGGTGTGGTTTCTGAGCATATTCTGAGAAGAAAATGTTCCTCTAATTTGCTCTTTTATTCCATGTATACTCTGCCAGTACACAAACGTAAGTAAATATTATTGATAATCCATTTATTGCCTGGTCTGATTAATCAGATCAATAACTACTCTCCCCGAATGTTCCCCCATTGATGGTCATCCTAAATATATTTTTCTGTGTCTGAACAAAAAGAATAAGAGAATTTGCCTTTTCGACGTTAGTACTAATCATTGTGCAGCAAAGGCTTGAAGGGTTTGGGGTTTTTTTTAGGTTTAAAAATGTTGAGAGAAAACTAGCTGTAAGATCAGTTTTAGTGGCATGAAAATCAACAACTTCATGGTAATTATTCTTATAAATACATCACTTATATGCAGTTAAATCATCACGAGCAAAGAACAGAGTAATAAAGAGTAGAAAGGAGATTTTTTTTTGCTGCTATACTGTAATTCACTTTTGGTGTGATTTGCACATCCGCTGCATCTCACACTACTATATTGGTCTGGTTTAACACCACTTTAGAGCAACAGGTCATGTTTTTAAATCCCCCAACAGGGTTTTGATACACACTACATCTGTTAGATCTTATTTTTCCATTATAATCTATACAATTCTCATGCACTTCACCAACCAAATCAATTATTGTTGTTAATAGAAATTATAGAGCATAAAAATTCAAGAGACTCAACTGTTATTGCCTGCAGACTGCTAATAATGTGAAGCTGAATTATGAATCCAGGAAGGGTGTTTTCTGTCGCATTATTTAAGTCTGTAGTATGAGAAAGGTGTTCCTTATTTACAGAAGAGAGCAGCAAAGGTTATGCGCTGTGGTTTGTCGTACATTCCTCTATGGATATATAGACTGTTCTATGATTTTTCTTTTTCCAAAATATTGTAAGTCAATTAGGACAGGTGATTAGATAAGAGGAAAGCATTTAAGGATAAATAGATGACAAAAAGATGGAAGAAAAAAGACCACTACAATTCAAATGATTGAAAGAATAGCAAAAAAGGTAAAGATAGATAAAAGAATTAGGTTAATCAAACACATTTGTTTTTTCTGCCTAATGTTTTCATTTCTTAAATCACTAACATGTTTGGAAATGAGAGCTACAAAGTTTTGCAGGCCTTTTACCTTTCTGTTATTTTTGATACAGAAAATACGTATAAATGTTTCCCCATATAAACTGACATTGGAGCTGGTCTGTTCTCTTAATTAATACTAAAGTTAAAGGTGTCACACATGTCATCATTCTGAATTTTGTCTGCATGCACAGCTTTGTTCATCTAGGTTACCTTATTATTTTACATTTGTTGTAGAAATGGATACAGGTGTCGTGAGCTACAAGCCCAAACACAACAACAAAAAACTATGGAAATTAGGTATCCTGGAAGTAAACACTGCATAATGCACCATATATATTTAATGCTTAGAACTTCCATATCAATGCATTTTTTGCGCCACATTCTTTCTCCCACAATGTTGATCACATTTGATCATTGCTGCACTTTAAAAAACGGAATGGAGCTGTACTCCTTTTTTAAACCCCATGCAACATTTTTGGTTTAATTTCCTCTTTTAAAATGCTTTGATGTCTGTATCTCCTTCTAGATCTTTGATTTAATGCTTTCTGTTGCTATTATCTTCACCCTCCTCTTATATCACTTTCCCAACTATTTATCAAGCTACTTAGCCAGATGTTGGAAACCATCCTGCGCTTTATTTAGAATCAAAGACTCTCTTTAATAGCTTAGTGGAAGTAACAGAGTTGAATTATGAGAAGGGAAGTAGATACACATCCATCCAGGATACTTTTTCTTTTTGCAGAAGTGAAAAGAAAATCAATACTGTTGTTCCTTTTTTGTCTTTTTTCTTTTCTAACCGCAGTGGCTCAGTAGTATGGAATTCCTCATGGGACTTTCAGGTCGCTTTTTCCACAACGATTGGCTATGATTGCTGCTCTTGACCACACCGCCTCATGTAGTTTAAACCCTCAGGCATCTCCTAACCACTACTTGGTCCACTTACCAAGAGATGAGCTTTTTTTGGGGGAAAACTAATGTAAGGGAAACTGTTATAGAAAATGGCTTCCAGCAAAAAAACATAAAACCAAACAAAAACAAACTACAGCATGTGGTATGGGTAGACTATGCTCCAAATATTATTGGTTTTCTTCTGGTCTTATATTGTTCTAATCCTTTGCTCAAACAGATTCTAAAAAGGAGAGAGGTAAAAATTATGGGGCTTCAGCTTTTTGGACTCGAACCAAAGCGTTGTGTTCAAGCAAACACCAAAACTCAGTAGGTCTACCGTAATGCACCATGTCAGACTGCATGTGAGGAAATCATCTTTCATCATTCACCTTCTTAAACATACAATATGAATACTATATTATACATAAACGCTCAGAATCAGAATTACTTTAATAATCCCTTGTGGGAAATTCTTTTCTTGCAGCACAACCATTTACAGAAGAGAGAAAAATAATACAATAGAGCAAAATAAAACATAGTATAATGAATCCAAATGCATTATGGTGTCCCTGTCCTTGTAAATTTGTTCAGTGAATGTGCCAGTTACCCTACTCTCAATATACATGCATTTATTTCTGTGTGTCAGTATGATTTGTTGACCTAGACAGCAGGAGAACAATGCTCCTGTTTCTAGTTTGTGTGTCGCTGGGCTCATTAGCCCGGTGCTGAAAGACAAGGCGCTGTTCACCATTTCCTCTCCCTCTGCTCTGTCTCGCCCTCCCTGTCTGTCCTTTTCAAAGCAAACAAAAGTAAGCATTTGCTGAAGTAATGCCATTCTACATGCATTTTGATTCAAGCATTAGTTTTCTGTTTGGTGATAATGACGGTGC